GCTGAAGTCAAGATAGGGCTCTTTATTGCTAAAAAACTCCAAGTTACAGAACCTGACTCTGCCCTCTGACACACCACTGTAAACCCGGGCTGACACCCACATAACTGCGGTCACACCCTGGCCCACAGTTTCAACTGACCTTTCCAAGCATCAAATAGCTTGGGATCTTTCTTCCAAGGCACCTCTTTATCCTGAAGTCCTGTTGGGGAAATGAACTACGTGTCAGGGAACACCAGCACCAACATACCAGAATAATAAACAAAGCCACAGTGACAACGTGAGAAGCCTTAATAGCCACTGCAGTTTGGGTTCAGGCCAACCCAGGAGTTCTCCTGGGGTACATCTACACAGCAAGGCTAAACTCAAAATAAGCAACGCAACTTGAGCTACGCTAAGGGTATGTCTAGACTACACGGAGCCATGTAGATGAGTTTACTAGACATAGGAAAATGAAGCAGAGATTTAAATAATCGCCGCTTCATTCACATCAAAATGGCCGCCGCGCTGTGCCGATCAGCTGTTTGGCGGCACAGTGGGGCAGTCTGGACATGCCGCGGTCGACAAGGGAAGCCTTTGTCGACCGCTCCAAAAAACCTCATTTCACGAGGTGTAATGGAACGGTTGACAAAGGCTTCCCTTGTTTTATTTATTTATGTATTATTTAAATCGCCGCTTCATTTTCCTATGTCTAGTAAACTCATCTAGACATACCCTAATTGCTTATTTTGAAACAGAGCACTCTTCCTCCGACTTCCCTTAATACTTGTACAATGAGGGTTACAGGAATTGGAGTAAGAAGTCCTCCAAGCTCGACATTATGTTGAAATAACTGCTTGCGTGTAGACGTGGAGTATGTTACTTCGAAATAACATCAGTTATTCCGAAATAACGCTGCTGTGTAGATGTACCCCCGGTGATCTGCAAGGACACCTAGGGTGTGTCTAGACTACATGCCTCCTTCGACGGAGGCATGTAGATTAGCCAGATCGGGAGAGGGAAATGAAGCCGCGATTAAAATAATCGCGGCTTCATTTAAATTTAAATGGCTGCCCCG